AATCAATCAATCAATCAATCAATCAATCAATCAATCAATCAATCAATCAATCAATCAATCAATCAATCAAAAACAACCTAAAGGGTAAAAACAGAGGAAGAGAACAAAGAGGAACAAAGCTCATGCAAATTGCAAACCAGCCTACTCTTGGTGGAGAGCTTTGTAGAGCCACCTAAACCTGAATCTGAAACTGACTGTAGTCCTCCTAGACCTCCTTTCCATTATTTTGGGAGGGAAGTTCTCAATTGAAGAAGGTTAGGGGTGGGGAGCACAGTTCAAACTAAACTGTTCTCCTTGCTAAACTGTTCTCCTTGCTCATGATCCCAACTGTGCAGATTCAGGAACAGCACCTTTAAGTATGGTTAACAACCTACTGAACACACCAAAGTGCTATTAGCAAATTATTGTTAAATTGATGAACTGACAGAAAGATCTTTCTTTTTAATTCGTTCACATAGAAATTTTCTTATAGTGTTGCAGGTACGTTGACTGCCAAAGAGTGCTGGAAGTGTTCAATGCATGTGGTCAATATTATAGATCTGTAGCTAAGACTACAGGGCCCAGGTCTAAGTTTAGACAGAAGTCTTGTTATTTATGTTTAACAGCAGTAGAAGTCAAAGTGTTTAACTCCAGTAGTCATCTCCTTCTTAATTACATTAAAGCATAAAAAAATATTAGAGCTGTATTGTCTTATTTTTGTTGTTGTTGTTAAAGTATACTAAAAAAACAAGGGGGTCAAATAATTTTTCTCAATAGCTGTATGACATAAAAAAATAGGGAAATAATTGTATAGCAATTATCTATTACTTTTACACTTGTAAGCTTAATGCTTGAGTTAAATAGTCACACCTTTAAATATGTTCTAAAGGCGTGTTATTTACGAGAAGCAACAATTTTGTCTCGCTCTCATTGACATAACAAAATGACATTTTGTTCATACAGCACTGTCTTGAGGGTTCTCATCGCCTTGTCTCAGTACAATGTTTAAGCGCAATATCTTTCTTGAACCATCTCCAAGAACAGTTGTGTTACTGGTCAGGATTTGGATTGGTGTGTTTAAGTAAAAGTTTAGAAGATTTTCTTTTTTGTTTTGGGGTCCAATATACCTGTCTTTATTTGAGGTTAGGGTTGGGTGATATGAAACAATTTTCCAACTGATATTCGTCAGTCCAACAAATGGCGATGGATGATATAATCGCGCAGGTAACCTTGTGGGCAAAGACCACCTGCAAATACTGCTGCAACCCCAATAAGGTAAACATGCTTGTTTTCTTGTCAAAAATGTATATGTTGTGTTCAGCAGTAATAGTTTCCTCTTTTCAAGTTGTTCTAAATACCTTATGAGACATTATAATTTTTTTATCTGAAGAGCAAAATCCAAAAGCCTGAAAACTGGAGCGGAGATTTTTTATTTCTTTTTTTTTTAATTGAAAGTACATAGCTTTACTGAAGGAGAGAATTTTCCTTTATTGTTTTTTTTTTGTTGTGAAATTTTTTATTTTTGTGTGAAAAATCTAATCGGTAACAGTAACAGTTGGCTGTAAACACACACAAAAAAACTCCCTCTCTCTGGTTTTGGTTCAACTGTATAAAAAAAAAATAAAAAAAATAAGCAACAAAAAACAGCTAGTCTCTAGTTTGGATCTGTTCTTTCTTTCTGTACGAAGTGTAAGTAGATAAATCACTGATGAAAAAAGCTCCATCTGGAAGGAATTTTGTGTACCATTAAAACCAGCATAAGGTTTTTTTGTTTGTTTTTTTTTCCTTTTTTTCATGGGCCTCGCCTCAAATTGTATGTCCAAAATTAAAAAAATTTTCTTAAAAATGACAGTGGAAGGGCTAAGTCTATCGTTAATGGTCGATAGATTCGTCCGATCACCCAACCTCATTTCAAATGTGGAAATTATACCTGGGCACAAAATGCATTGAATCGATTAATTTATATTTTTTGTTCCAAGAATGGAATAAAATCCTGTAATGTTTGGAACTGGTGTGTGTTTACTGTGACAGACGCAGAGCAGGAGACTCCACACTATAACGTTTGCCTCAAGACCATCATAATCAAAGGCAGCAAAACCACAAACCTTTTTCTTCACCTAAACCATAGGAGTCCAGCCCTTTACAAAAATGGCAGTCTTTCTTACACACTCCTTGTTCTAAACATTATACACATGTATAAATACCATGTAAAGTGGTAATATCATTATATTAAAGAAAGATTAGTTCTGTGTCCCACGGTTTAGGTATAAAATATGAAAAGACCTGCAGAAAAAAAGCGAAAAAGTGGATGAAGAGGATTTAGAAAAGTCATTATTCACTGTGAAAATAATAAGAAAGAAGCCATTACCACAAAAGCATAAAAAAAAATCTAGTATAGCTTACTAATGTTCCTTTGCAAGAAACCCTTAACTTTTGAATTTTTGAAGCTTTGCTCTAATGAAACTAAAATTGGAGTAGCAAACACTGGAGTTAGAATTTTGTAGAAAAAGACATTTAATGGCTAAATATAAACATTGGGAAATGTGCTATTAAGAAATGCTTTCCCTAAGTATTTAGAGGGAACACAGTACGCAAAAGTACTAAATAGGAACTGCTGGTTGTTTGTAATAATTTTGTCATGATTACATTGATTTCTTGTACTTAACTTGAAAAAGCTTGCTTTGTAAATTACTAACAAATGTGGTTATATACTGTTTTCAAGGCAATGTGCTGGCATGAGCAAAAAATATTCATACATAGCCTGATAACGTATGTGATTAAAACAAGCTTAAAATTTTTTACCATCTCATTTGCATACTATATTCACTCATCCGGCTTTTGTAACGGCAAAAGGCATCCCAAGCCATTTAATTTACAATCAACATGCATCACTGTCTTATTATTATTCCTCTGTCTGTGCAATACCTGCGCTTTAACATTGATTTGCCCATTGCTGGTTTGAAATAAGTTTACTGAATTGAAAAAAAAAAAAAATATATATATATATATATACATATATATATATATATGTTTTTTCAGATTTGCCTTAACATTCGCTGATCAAGTAAAATGCCTCCTTAAGTTACTTGCAGGTAGTGTTTCATGTTGTCAGCGGTAAATCTATTCTGCATTTGACAGGCTTTGTTTACACTGTCTTGTATTACTGTATGGGTAGAGTGATCTAAAATAGCGATAAACGGACGATCGGCAACCGATTGCAATTGGCCGATAGTGTCCTTAACGGTATTGATCTGGGTTCTAAAAATAGCCCAAAGCATGCTGATTAGAAGACTTGTAAACATTATTTTCCCTGTCTTGCATTTGGATCTAAAAAAGCTTGTCTCCACTGCTTCTTACACAAAAACAGTGGTCAATTCATGATACTTTTTTATTTAATTTCTATAAATAGTATAGTGCTAATATAGACAGTATGAGACAACAGTATTTAAGAATTTATGGATTGGATGCTGTGATCAGCAATATTGGGATCTGGCGATAATGATTTTGGCGATCGGCTCCCGAAGTCCTGATCTGTGCATCTCTAATCTTACAGTTGGCACCACATCACTTTACAGCATTTTTTCCTCACAGAAAGGGCTACCACTAATCAGGAAGTGACTGGAGAATAACACTGACCTGATGCTTCAAAGTCTTGATTGGCCATGTTCCACGAATCTCTGATTTGAAGTAAACTGCTTTCCATTGCCCTTAGATCCTCCTCAGGACAATTACATTTTGGATAGTCAACAGCACACTGGCACCAGCAGTCGTTGTCCCGGCACACAAACAGTCCCTCTTCATTACAGCCAATATAACTTAGAGCGGCCTGCACAAACCTGGCTCTCAGATACTCTGGCAGTATGGCCTGGAGGCCTGAGGCAAAGACATAAACAAGAGAAACATTTGAATGAATTAAATAAGAGCTGCACCAAAGTATTTTAGCATTGCAGTGTAAGTATAGATTACTATTCTTTCCAACATCTTTGAAATATTTCAGTTGAGACTTGTAATGTGTGACTAAGATGTGTAAAAATAGACTGACTCAATTTCTTTTTTTCACTCCAAATGTTCTAGTTTTGTTCTGGATTATTGTTCCTCAAAATTTACTTCCAAATTTTCCAAGCATGCACCAGGGAAAAAAAGAGTGATTGAAGCTAAATTTGTTCTGACACCCTCACACTGTAGTTATAAACTTGCCAGAGAACAGACACTGTGACAATTCCATCAGAAATTGGGGGGAGTTCAATTATGGATGGCCAACCTTGCAAATGAATCTTGTTTTCAGGGCTCTGAACCAAAACAGAGCTGACAGAGTCGAGGTTGTCATAGTTACTGCATCCAAGAGGGCCTGTCCTTGTTTCGGTCACCTAAAGGGAGAAAAGCAGAGCCAGATAATAATTCATGCTAAGGAAGAAGTTCACTTTTGGCAAGCCAAAGGGGAAAAAACCCTGAAAGAATTAAGAATGGAAGACAATCTAAATTCAGTTTCTAAGCAACAAAATCGCATTTTAAAGAAAAAAACGATATCACAAGCCATCTGGGATTTTTATTATGGGTTGCTATATTGCTTATACATAAAATGCACATTCAATAAAAGTTGATAAGTGCTCTGGAAAACAGGCTCAAAACCATGTGGTCCATCCCTTTTTATATCTGGGAACTGCATGTGGCACTGGCAGTTTGGAAATGCCTCTAAGGTTCTAAGCCATGGTGTTGGAGGTAACAGTGATAAGAATTATAATAGACAATAAGACAAATAAATTCTATGGATATTAGTACACTTTACATTTAAATATCTTAGATCCCTACAAACAAAGGAATAAAAAATTTTAAAAGAGGAAAATAGTAAAAGTGAAAAGATCAATCTGTCTGACAGTCTGAGAAGGTGCCACAGTCAGAGTTACACTGGGATTAATGGGGACATATTCCTTTTAAATCCTTCCATTCCATATTTCAATCACTCATTTATGATGTATATTAAGTGGAACTGAAATACTTTGGCTTGAGTTCCTCATAATTTTCACTCAATAAACCACTCTTCTAACTTTTTTGAGGAGCTGCTCATCTGCAGTTAACTAGATTTGATGCATCACTTTAAATTCAAATAAGAAACTTCACACCCTGCCCCCTTCACATTACAGAGTGTTCAGCTCCACTATTTTTGGGGGGTTTAATAGAAAAATATGGTTGTCTAACAGGGCAGAAATTGAGAGATGGCATAATAAACTGAACATTTTGACTTATCTACAAGTACCTTTGGCACCCTTAAGTTTCACTGTGAGAAATGAAAATGGCAGATTCTCAAAATTAGTAAGTCTGAAGTCCATGACCCTATTGGGGAGGTCTGCAGCAAATATTCTGATGTTATTGTGAAAAAAAAATCATAATAGGAACTAGAGATAACTAAGTACATTTAAAAATATGACCCAAATAGAATATAAAGATATTTACACCTGGAAATACTGAATTTATTTATTTTTTGCACCCTTAGAGACTCCTAATACACTACAAAATACTATAAAACTACTTATTTTAAGACATCTAGTCTGAAGAAATTATTATAGGAAAGTAGCTACAATATTCTCATATTTATGTGTACTGTAAAATGTTAATATGTTGTAAAAGAACATATTTAAATATATCAAAATAAGTAAGTTTAATTTTGGTGACAGTCTGGCTCTAATTTTTGTTTGAGTAGAGTTTTTTTTTTGTTATAAATACTTTTTATCCATTGGAGCTTGAATAAATGTTTAGGTGCTGTCTCACAGCAGTACCAATATCATGACCAAGGTTAATTAAATAGCAACAAGGTAAAGTAAATAGCACAGAAGCAGGGGAGCAGAGAAGGGAGCAGGAAAGCAAGCATGAAGGATAAAGCATCTGTTCTTGCCCAGTCTTAAGTGGTTGATGTGGTTGTACTCTAAATAAAATAAATAAAATGTTCTCCCTCTCTCTTATGATAGATGTGTCCATGCTCCAGTCTGCACAATAATCTGAATCAGCACCGGTTTAAATTATGTATATATGTTGCTAAAAAAAGAGCAGTCTAACATAAATATAAACGTTTTAAATGAAAGAACTTTAGAGCAATTACACCAGTTATTTCTGATAATCTGTATCTTCTTTTATATATTTTTTTTTTCTTTTGGCTTTAGAAAAAACCGAACTAAAGCATAATTTTTGGAACATCAAGTACTATTGCATGAATGTTTGAAGTATTGGTGTAATCAATGTTCCCCAGTATCATATAATTCATATATCAGGACAAAGTGAGTTACTTTATGTTACTGTGTGTTCATAGTCGCATTTAAATATTAACTGCCATACTTAATCACCTGATGAGCTTGAAATGTAATTTAATTTTACTTATACACGTTCTATGATTGCCTGAAAGTAAAATATGTTTTTTGTGAAATAGAATGAAATCAAGCTCATATTCTTCTGCCGTGCTTAGGGGAGGTGGACAATCCAGGTCCAGAAAGTAAAAAGCAGGCACAGTAATTAGTTCTCAGTATTTGCATTTCCAGCTTCCCTGTACAGACGACTACTACATTACTCACCTGTTTAGGTGAAACAGATGAAGGAAAACTATGTGAGGTCGTTACATTCTGGATCTGGATCATTGATCATCTAAGGGAGTGCATCTTTATCAGAGCAGCTAGGGCACCTACACTTTTATTATATGTCCAATGTCTAGACTGGATCTCAAATAATTTTTTGTTATGCAGATAAAAGAAATGGTGGAAGTCTGAATCTCCCATGATTCAGTAAAGACTTAAATATATATCTGTTAAGGACTGATATTTACAGGCATTGCTGCTAATTGAAATTTGACAATTCAAAGGATTTCTTGACATAGTCTTGTGACCTTAAAGACCTTATGGTATTTATAAGTTAAGTGGGAAAGTGCTTTAGTAGATTCACCTGTAAATGAGGGAACCTCTGTGTGCTGCACGGTCCATGCGAACAGTGAAGAGATAATCGGAAGAAATCGGTTGACAGTGACCTTACTTTTCTCAAATCTGACTTTTGCTGGAACATAGTGTTATAAAAGGCTGATATAGATTGAAACTGAAAGAGAGGCTTTAAACATCACATTTTGAACTTGGCCTTCCTTAATGATAAGAAATTATTTTATTGTCCCACTGTGTGGATAATGGATTTAACAATGGCAAAAACAAGGTAATAGAAGAAAAAAAACTTCCACAGGGGACTTAATAAAAAAAAAAAAACAATGGGCATTATCCCAAAAATTTTCTTATTCTTTTCTTAAATTTCTCAGTTTTTCTTCTACCGTGTGCTACTATGAATGTGCCACATGATATTCATAAACTTTTCTCTACATCAGTATTAATGAGAAATTACATTTTGGAAACGTAAAGCAGTCCACCGCTGCGTTAGTCGCCCATTCATGAGAATTGCAAATCTGCATAATTACCATCCCTACTATCCCGATTGTCAGACAGTGTTCAATTATAGAAACAGCATTGAAGTCAAAGAAGAGACTTTATCAGTTTGGAGATTGAGGTTTTGCTGACTGAGAGGTGAACATCAGAATTAAATGACCAGTAAAGGCTTAGTGGTGAGGAATAAATCACACAAGCTGTAAATGATGTGGTTGAACTTTTACTCAAGTAAAAAGAAAATGATGATGTTATCAATTGGTGTCAAAATCATGTCTAGCAAAAGCCAGACAGTCAATAAAAATGCTGATGGAGGCAAGAGGAAAAATATATGATGTAAATGCTTGATATGAGTTTGCCATCAGCCTACAGGACACAACATTTAGCAAAATCTCCCTTTAACACACACACGTTTACGGTACATCTCCAGACCACATCCATCACCCCTTTATTGCCCTCCATCTCTCTCAATCAACATAAAACCGTGTAATTTTTGACTCCAATTTAAAGAATTCAGACAGACCCAAACCTTTTACATTTTGATAATAATAACAAAGCCAGGGAGCCCCATCAAGTAAACTGAATTCATGTCTTAACTTTAGAAGAGTTTCAAGCAGAAACATGTTGCTGAACTTTGTTATTAAACTTTCTATCCATTTTCTGTTCCAGATATAGTATTTCAATAGTAGCTTGATCCCACATAGAGCACACTCACTGTTCTTTCTTTTGATGAAATGACGACAAAATAAACCACTGTCCGCTGAATACCCACATCCCAGCTGCAGTTGTCAGGACCAATAGTTCTGTCATAAGCGAACAAAAATGCAATTTATAATTCCAGAGCTGCATAATATATAATGATGCAGCCTAAAAAAATGGAAAACTGCTTCTAACTAACAGACTTAGTATTTAGTAAAACAAATCTAGGTTTGAATAACAGCTTACAAGACTCCTACATTAAATCTGAAGCACTAATAAATTGTTCGTACCTGAGAGAAGATTGGAAATAGGAGAAAAAAAAGATTTATTTGTATGAACAATTTAAGAACAAAATTGTTTGTACAAGAGCTTCTTGCATGGGACCCAATTATTTTTAAAGTTAAACTTTACAGTAGAAGAATGAGTAACATATCTAACAATGGGGAAAAAGTCAATTTATGAGTAAGAAAAGAAGAAAGTAAGAAAAGGCATGTTCAGGTAAAGAAAAAGAAAAAAGAAAAATAGGAAAATAGAAGTTACAAAACAGATGTAAAAAAAAAGTGCAAAAAAACAGTAAAAATACAGTTTTTTTTTGTAAAAATACTGTGCAAACAGTATTTAACATGGGGAGTGTTCAGTAATACTTTTAAGACACATATTAATTTAAATAGTACAAATGAATTCTTATTTTACAGGTTAACAGATGTATAACAACCAGTAGCACATATGTGAACATGTATGGGCTTGCAGGGAGCAGTGAAGGTTATAGAGTAACAGCAGTGGGAAGGAAGGATCTGTAAAAGCGCTCCTTTGTACATCAATTATGCAATAGCCTGTCACTGAATGAACTGTCCAGCTCTGTAACAGCATAGTGCATGGGATGGGAGACATTGTTCAACAATGATGTTATTTTTTTCACAGTCCTTCTGTTTACCTCCACCTGCAGCTTTTCCCTGTGGCATCCTAGGGCACAACTGACCCTGCTAATAAGCTTATCCAACCTTGCAAACCAGGACCTTGACTTTCTTTTCTTTGACACATTTTGAGGCCCAGTGGTAACTCTGTCAGAATTTACCATTTCCTTAAAAAAACATGGCATCCTGATGGTAGATCTCTAAGCTATCATTATATCATAGAAACAATGAAGGTAAAAGGATACGACTCAGTAATAAACATTGCTCAAGAAGTCAAGATGGTGGAGGAGTATATTTATCCCACTGTTCACCTGGACAACAGACGTGGCTGGAGACACTTTGCAGCTGTCT